ACTCAAAACAGCGCTGTAGCTTTGTTTGGAATTATTTTTGTTGGCACCATAAAATAATGTTTTTTTTTAACCTTAAACCGCATAAACACATTTCATTACACCAAATACACATAATAATGTTCTTTTTAGCAACATCATATGAACACTTTAAATAATAAAAGATACTTTAAATGTGAAATTAAAACCGCCAGTAGGTGGCAGCAAGTCACTGTTAATAAGTGAGTCATTGCGAATGAACCGAATCATTCAAACTGTTGATTCATTCAGGAACGAAACACCATCATGTTGCTCAGAGATGCAAAACAGCGTTGTGGCTGTGTGTGTTTGGAATTATTTTTGTTGTGGAAATAGAGCAAAAATAGGCAATATGGTGTCTAAAACATAAGTCTCTTAATTAACTTCTTGTTTATTGAATTTGTAGTTATGGTAATTTTTGGAGAAAAACGGCACTTCGTGTGAAACTGATTAACTAGGCTATATGAAGTTGTATAAATATATACATTTTCTGCCCCCATGTCTTGAATTTTGTGATCATTCTAAATGCATTTCAATAGACTGAATCATGCAGTGAATGAACGCACTCTAAATGCGCACGCGCACTAGTCTAGACTTCATAATGTTTGCTTGTACTCTGTAGGGGTGTTTTGAATGGTTTTTGCAAAATACTCGGACCGTTGGGAAAACTTTATTTTTAATGATTAAGTTAATTCTGAATGTTCATTCAATTAATCGATTTTTTTTTTTAAAGATTCATTGATTCATATTATTTATCAAAAAAATATTAAGTTGATGCTTGATACTATTCTTTTCTCAGTTACATACAGTAACCTTGTTTTCAGTTTTAATAGTTGCATTTAATGTACATGTATAGGTTAAAATACAATTATATTATTCTCATTGAGCTTCTCACTGTTTTTGCATCAAATAAATGCTGTTCTGTGTTTTAAAAAATGGTTTAGGGTTTACATTGAAACAAATTTCACCCAGAAACAGTAAACTTCTAGTAAATTTATATATATATATATATAGAGAGAGAGAGAGAGAGAGTCAAGTATAATTTAGTCAAGTAAGAAATTTGGTTTACAAAGCTCATATGGTATTTTCCTAATAAAATTAAAAATTGCATAATGTATTTTTCTTTACATTCCACAATATATGAAATGGGACTAAAATAAGAACCAGCAAAGAAACTTTCATTCACAACTGATACAGTTTTTTTTTAGAGATATGTAAATTACTTAAAATTATACTTAACATTTATTTCAGTTAATTATAAAGGACACTCTTGAAAACCACTGGTTTAATTTCTATAAAGCAAATCTGGCTTTTAATTTAACAATGCACCATCACAGTCATGTGTTTTGTACATGGGTGTTGTTTTAGGGTGTCTGTGAGCCGAGCCATTAAGCCATTTGCAGAACCTGGACGCCCTCCTGACTGGTTCTCTCAAAAGGTATTGGGAGAGCAGCAGAACAATCCAACAACATGGAAAACTTAAAGTAAATGTTCACCCAAAAATTAAAAATTGCTGAAAATTTACTCATCCTCAGGCCATCCAAGATGTAGAGTTTTTTTTTTTCACTGGAACAGATTTGGAGAAATGTAGCATTACATCACTTGCTCACCAATAGATTCTCTGCAGTGAATGGGTGCTGTCAGAATGAGAGACCAAACAACTCATAAAAACATAATTTGTAGTAATCCACATGAGTTGCATACAATGAAAGTGGATGGAAACTGTCAAGTCCAAAAAAGGACAAAAAAACAACATAAAAAATAAAAAATAGTCCATAAAACTCATGCAGTGTATTCCATATCTTCCAATACTTTGTGCTTTGTAATTTTTGGGTAAACTCTCCCTGTAAGGATTAATTCGTTAAACATTATGCGGTAAATACTTATAACACACTCTTTCTTTTCGTCCCTGTTTCACAGCATTGTGCCTCACAATACTCTGAGCTCCTGGAGACAACTGAGGCCCCAAAGTGAGTCCACTTTCTGTTCATTTGCGTTCCAACATCCACTCCGTTCCTGATAGCACTTAATGGTGAGCGTATATGCGTGCACGTTCACAGGAGAAAGCGAGGTGAGAAAGGGGAGGTGGTTGAGACAGTGGAAGATGTGATCGTCCGCAGGTTGACAGCGGAGAGAATAGAGGAGTTGAAGCGATTGATCAAGGACACACAAGAGAAGTACAGGTACCAAATGTTCACATGCTTACTTTGACCAACACCTGCTGTCTGCTGACTGTAACTCTATTGCTGTGTCCCTTTAGGAAACTGAAGAGACAAACTGAACTCATCCAGGCAGGACATCTGGACTCTAAACTTGAGGAGCTATGGGAGGAAATTGTACGGTAAGAATCACTGTACCAGCTCTTTCCATCGTCAACCCAGGCAGTTTTATCTTTCTAATATACCAAATTTAAAGGAATAGTTCCGCCGCAAAATTTAATTTGTGACCCTGGACGACAAAAGCAGTCATAAATAGCACAGGTATATTTGTAGCAATAGCCAACAATGCATTGTATGGGTCAAACGTATATAATAATTATTATTAGGATATTAAGGAAAGATCATGTTCCATGAAGATATTTTGTAAATGTACTGCCGTAAATATATCAAAAGGTAATTTTTGATTAGTAATATGCATTGCTAAGAACTTCATTTGGACAACTTTCTCAATATTTAGATTTTTTTTTTTGCACCCTCAGATTCCAGATTTTCAAATAGTTGCATCTCAGCCAAATATTGTCCAATCCTAACAAACCATACATCAATGGAAAGCTTATTTATTCAGCTTTCAGATGATGTATAAATCTCAATTTCAAAAAATTGACCCTTATGACTGG